CATTAGTAAGTGAGGGTAATAGAAAGATGCTCTCCTTATCGGAGTGGTGGGGAGAGAATCAAGGACAAGGAGAAAGCATCTCTCTTGTCCTCTTTTATTAAAGTTGATGTCTTGCTTCGGGCGAGCGCGCATAGTGCGTCTATCTATACAATCTATATGCTTATATATTCGCTATCGATAGCGAAATAAAATCGAAACTAATATTAATACTATAATTATATGATCTTTGAATTTAATTGTCACAATTTTTTTGTTTTGTGTTTACATATGGTGTCAAAAATGTCTCGGCATATAATTCTTGATGTGTCGTTCTACATGTCTCGAAATATTCGTGCATTATTTTGATTATTCGAGAAACAAATAATTTGATTAATAATGACAATAAAATAAATTTTTGATAATCATTTTATTTTGTTTTAAAATAGCTATTTCTTTGAATAATAATCATGACATTTTACACTAAAACTTTGATAGATTTCCATAATTTCTGTAAAAGATTAATCTTTCTTTAAATATTAAAGAAGATCTAGAGCATAGATACTATTTCTTTGAATAATAATCATGACATTTTACACTAGAACTTTGATAGATTTCCATAATTTCTGTAAAAGATTAATCTTTCTTTAAATATTAAAGAAGATCTAGAGCATAGATACGAAAAATACTCAATTTTTTAAATATAAAAATTTGTAATATATAAATGCATTACAAATCCTAGCGTGCAATGCTACGTAATTATTCAATAATATATTAAAAATAATTTTTATTATTATATTGTGTGTTGCATTTAATAGATATATTATTTTATTTTGTGATATTTATGATTGACATTACTATAACGATAATAAAATTAATGATAATAAAATAATTTTTTGATAATTTATTTTGCTTTGAAGTAAATAATATATTAAAAAATAATTTTTATTGTTGCATTTATTAGAATTATTATTATGTTATTATACGGTATTTATGATTGACATTGCACAATAGTGATGATAAAATTAAAGATAATAAAAATAATTTTTTGATAATTTTGCTTTGAAATATTGTCAATTTTTCGAATAACTTAATCATAACACTTTTTTATACACACAAAAACCAAAAGCTTTGACAGAGTTCTACATAACTTTTGTTAAAAATTATAGACTTTTTTCTAAACGTTAATAAAGATCTAGAATATAGATTCAGAAAATATTCATTCAGAAAATTTTTAACTTAAACTATGTAAATACATAACATATTAAACAGATTCTAACGTGAGACGCTCGTACTACATAATTATTTAATAATATATTAAAAATAATGTTTATTGCATTTATTAGAATTATTATTTTATTATACGATATTTATGATTGACATTGCACAATTTTCCACCGCATACTTGAGCGTTACTTTTGAAATTCGTGAAGCGTAAAAGATCTGAAAGGCTACGAAAACGAAATGGCTCACGACATCGTAGGCGTTTCACGATTTTCTACCAGTAAATGGCACTTTAATGACGAGACTCGTGAATGGTTGATTCATGGAAAATATAATATTTAACGACTATTTCGCGGTAAGGTCGTTAACGTACTGAGTTGTGTATACTTTCAGTAATCGTTGAGATCGAATCTTGTTTTGAGGAGACAATTTTCAAACAGCATTATTATATAAACAAACTAAACTTTGATGCGTTATATTAAATTGAAATAAATTGAAAGTTTAATGCGAGAACGAGAGGCAAATCTTGCGAATTTTACAAAATAGCTGTAATATAAAAAGAGCATTGTTCAAAATATTATTTTTCATATACTTATATATCATAATAATATTTTATTATTGTCATTATTAATAAAATTATTTGTTTTTTTAAATAATCAAAATAATGTGCGCAAATTCAGAGAAACTATATATTATTTTCTGTACATTTATTGAGAAGGAAGAGTTTGCTAATTTTTGACTTCCAAATTGCCTTAAATTTTTCCTTTTGATATCGTGAAAGTGCAAGGAATATTCGTACATGTTGCGTTTATTTTGCTAAGGATATGTGGGCGATCGATCCATTTAAAGATTGACGGGTCTGGATTACAGACATATATATGATTATGATACGCACTTAGTATGTGCCGACTGTGTCAGCAGCCAGTCGCGAACTAATCGAAATAAATCGCTAATTATGCAGAACCGTAGATGTCACTATTTAATTTTTTAACGTGATACCGGTTTCAGAAATAGATTTATTTTCTTGTTTTATTACATTTGTCGAACCAAAAAAAAATAAAAAATTATGTCCGCAACATTAGTTATTATCTGTTGGTTGGTATATCTTCATGCTAAAATATGTGTTGAAATGTTACATTATAAATTGTTATGTTTATTATAATTCACATACATTAACTTTAATTTGACATACGATTTTCAATCTTGATAATAAATTTAATATATATTATACATATTTAAGTTATTAAAGTTTTAAAATAAATAAAAAATATTAAAAAGAAATAAAATATACTAAAATTAGGAAAGATTTCTTAACTATTTATTTCTCAATTAGCTTTTTTGAATCATTTTCTCTCAAATGTAATCATATATACAATAGGTGATAAAAATGTATTATTAATTTTATATATGCATTAAAATTTCAAGTTTTTTAAAAATAATTATTTTAACGGAACTATAAATCTTTACGATTTCATTGTTTTTATCTATTATTTCTCTGCATTGTTTTATGATTTAAAAAAAAAATTACGTAAAATTGCATTGGTGTCCTCTGAAAAGTGAATATTTTATAAAAATCTAAATAATACGATAATATCGAAATGATGCTAAAATAATTAATGATCGTATCATAGCAATTTGCGGAATCTTTATCCACAATTATCCAATTATCAATTCTCATCAGCTTTATTCGAAATGGCAATACAAGTCTTATGAATGAACGAAAAGCGAGTTCACGAGTTTACTTGCGCGAATCCCCATGCTTTCTCTGTATAATACCCGGTGAGACCGCTTCTTACGACGAACCTCTCCGCGTAAGGGGTCCCCACGATGTTCCTTTTGCCGGGCCTCCAATGGTCTCCGAGTACACGAAGCCATTAATATTATTACCGAGCGAGAGCGTGTGGGTATCATTATCGCGGACGATAGAAAAAACGACTATCGAAAGAGGGACGGCGAGGAACAAGAAAGCGAGGAAAAGGAAGAGGCGGAATAAAAGAGGAGGACAGCGAGAAAAGGAGGCAACGGTGGTGGTATATCCTCGAGTAAGAGCACCTTTATACACTCGACTTGAGGAGGCTCCTCGATTACGCGGGCATTCGAAATTTTCGGGGCTCTTCCGACAGCGCCGGGAATCACCCTCGAAATTGATGTTGCCCGGCCACGCAATCTTGAGGCCGTTCAAACTGCTCGATTTTTCTCGCCTGTTCCGTAAATCTCTCCTTTTTCTCTTCAACCGTCGAAAGACGAGGAAGGAACATATTTATTATACTTGCCGTGACCCCCGGGAGCAGCGTATTCGTCGCCACAAGCACATGGCGAGGAAAAAGTAGTCCGCGTAAAGATTAATATCCCGCAAAATACGCAAAGAAGAAAAATATCGCAAAATTTGCTGATTTATCGCGATGCGATCCATTTATTTGAAATGTCCGCGAGATAAATTTTCTATTCGTGTAATTGTTGAAAGGCAAGCAAACGAACTGCGCCGCGCGCGTTTTGAAATATATTATAGATATTTAATATACAGTACCCTCCATAAGTTTGGAAACACCTTACATTTTATAGTTAAACAATCGTATGGTAGCGATCTGTGTAGATTTTTTATATCAATAAATCGTAAAATACTTAAATAACATTTTTGTTGTGCGATTGTTTAACTGTAAAATGTAAAGTGTTTCCAAACTTGTGAAGGGTACTGTATGCAATAAATAACAAATGTTCATTTATAAGACTGTTTTTTGTTATCGATTAATAATATTTCAAATAATATACTGATGAAAAACATTTCATTAAGTTTATATTCTTGCATGTTACGAATATCTAATTAAAGAATATTTCTTTAGAGAATTTTTCTCTTAAATTAAGAGGATCCTTTTGACATATCTGTCAAATAAGATAGCAGAAGATAGCAGAAGATAGAAGAAGCAGAAATAAATAAAAAAATAAACATAAAATATTTAAATATTTTTATTTATAACAGATCGCTGCCATGCAATTTTTTAACTGTAAAATGTAAGGTGTTTCCAAACTTATGGAGAGTACTGTACATATATATATATGCGCAAGTCATTCATGAATATATATAAATATTGAATAATAATATAATTTTATTTTTAATTCAGATTTTTTCTAATTTAAATTAAAAGTTAATTAAAAATAAATTAATAATTAAAAGAAACAATTCTTGGATGATCACGAGTACAAATCTCAACATAATGTATAATCAATTTTTGAACAAAACAATGTGATATTTACGCTCATTGTTAGTGAATTTCATCCATTAATCTGACATCACAAAAAATTAAATTTAGATATACATGCAATTAAATGCTAATTTTATTGTTTCAATTCCAAATTTATTGCTTTTATTAATGGAAAATTCATAAATAATTTGTCGCTAACAATTTTCTCATGTTTCTGCATGTATAATTCGATATGCATTCAGAACATTTTAGAAATAAAATTAAGCATAATAATCATGTTGATGAATGTGTATGTGATGAATTGCTATTAACAAATAATTAAAAGGAGTTTAAATAGATTTGAAATAGATCCAATACAAAATTCCTTACCAATTTGGATAAATTTAAAAATTATTCTAAAGAATTATACAAGATTTGTTTTTCTAAAGCATTTACAATGAGATAGCAGTATTTTGCTATTAACAGATATTTTTAAAGAATAAACACGTTTTATTATAACTTATAACTGAATACATAATGTTTCATCAAATTTAACTCTTAAATATTTAACAAATTTACAACTAGCAAAAATTACTATAATTTACTTACTTTTTTTTACAGATTGACTTGCCCTGAACCGTACTTTCTTAGCGAGGGTTTATATGCAACACCAGAAGAACTTGAAAATACTCGCGAGGTTACTCTGCACGTGATAACCATCGGAGTTTTCATCGAAGATTCGGCAAAGGTAGGGTTCAACAGTAAACAAATATTATTTCTCTTTATGCAGGATCAGTTGTGTGCACAATTTACAAAATGAAGTATATTGTGCGATTTTTACACGATGTATATTATTTTTTTGATTGCTCGTTTTTGCATATGCTTTACGAGTTAGTCCAGTGTTATTGCGCAAAACTATATACACATTTAAATATAAAAAGTTTTTTTGTAGGGTCGAATAAAATTTTCGTAAAATTATTTGATAGAAAAGAATAAAGACATTAGGCTGATCAATGTTTTTGTTTCCAAAAATGTTTTATTATTCAGGAAAAATAAAACGAACGGCAATATAAGTATGTATATAGTGTTTCTTTTCAAATCAATTAAGCTTATTTTTAAGACGATTATAAAAATAATATAAAGGATATCTTACGATGCTGTCAGTGTTAAAATCGTTACTTAATTGAATTTATATAGTTATACAAGTATTACGATTTGAGAGACTGTCCACGTAATATTCTCTATTTTTTTCTCGATTCGTACTTTTATAATCAGCGTAACAGCATATGCTTAAAGACCCTTAAAATTCTTGCCGACCGATCGAACGGTTTCATACCTCTCGCGTGGCTCAATAAACGGCAGATAGCTGAATAAATAAAAACACAGCTAATTGCGAAGCGCACGCAGATGCCAGACCATCCGTCGACCTTTCTTATCTGACGTGGGCGCGGATTAAAATTACGTATAGCTATGCGGGACCCTAGTCTCGCACCGCTAGGGCTATCTCGTGGGTCCTCTCCTCGGGTCGCTAATTAAATGCAACGGCTAATTAGATAACTGATAAAAGGTTATGGCAAACGGCATCATGTATATTTTTTCGGTCTCTCTCTCTTTTTCATCCGCATTCTCTTTTCACATCCGTGTTCATGGTTTTTCTACTCTTTTGTACACAATTCAAGTTCGTTCCGCTGAAATCTGAAACTCTCGGCTCGAATTCCATGGTCGATGAAATCCCGTGACCTTGAGACTTTGAAGATTTCTCTCGGAATATTTTTGCGCGAAAGATGACTACGTGGAGACAGTGCGCGATCAAACTCTCTACATTTCAAGTGTATGTGTCTTGCTTCATAACCAGACGTCTATTTAAATAGACATCTAATATTCTCCATGAATAAATAGCGTTACATAATAGAGAGTGTATTGTAGCATAACGTAAGAGTATAATATAAACAGTCGGAAAAATAATAGAAAGAATAACCAAAAAATTATATGATACGACAGTACACTTGCTGTTTAGACACGATCGTAGAAAATGATTTATCGTAATAATAAATTTTATTTTCGTTTGTACGGTCTTGTTATTATTGTGGCGCGCGTCGAGGCACCTGAAACATTGATAATCGAGACAAACTTCCTCGAGAACGTGTTCCCTCGTTGTTTATTCTGCCGCGATAACGAGTCTTGGAACTGGTTCGCATCCAGCTTCGTATGCCTCATTACCTGGCCGAAGGGCTTGGTATTTTATTTACGCGTTTATACCCGGGTACAGTTATTATAATTGCTTGTCGTCCTTGCGTGATTTATGAGGGCCCGACTAAACACTCGCTCTTGAACGGTTACATCCTACTTCTAATAGCTACCGTGCCGTTTTATATATATCAGCGACACTCCCAATAAACGGCGAAAAATCAGCGCGTACGCCTTTTATTCTCATAAATTTTGCAATGCATCCTTAATGGCCGGTGTGGTATTTCGTTTACGTAATACTGTAGTACACTTAATTTACATAATTCGAATGAATTGGCTGAAGATCGAGTTAGCGCGAACGTATTAAATATTTTGCAAACTGCTTTAAAGATGTTCAACTTTTCTCTTCTATCTTTTTCATAATTTGCAATTTATATTTTTACGCGGGGCATCAATGCTCGGTATTATATTAACATGACTATCTAGAAGGTGTGAGAGGTATATCTCTTCCCATTCATTTGGTCTTTCGGTTTAAGCGCCATTAGCGCATTTCTGTGAACTTTACCGAGAAGTATGTAGAAAGCAGTGGCGGCTAAATACAAGTAGCACAGTGGAGGAGAGTCGACTTCGGCAGACCCCGCAATGGCCTTCCGGGTACATTGAATAATGCATGCCGCATCTGGGGGCAACATTGTTGCGCGGCCATCGGGACACAACACGAAAGAAACTGCCAATTGACACGTCGACAGTTTTACGAGTCAACCACTTTCATGCATCGTATATTCGAAATTGAAGAAAGTCACATTCGGGACACAATTCGTAAAACACTGTTGCGATGCGTTACATCGTTACGTGGCATTTCAATTAAATCAATAATTTTGAAGACAATGTACTATAAAACTGAAAGAATTAAAATTGTTCAGGTAGTAAGAACAATGAGCATTTTTATCCGACGTGTTTTTAAATCTAAAAATTCGTTCAATATCGAAATAATGGCATTAAAAAATTTAATAAAATTCTAATAAATATATACATATAAAAAATAATAAGAAAAATGAACATTTATTCGATGCGTTTTTATATATCTAAAATTTTGTATAATATTGAAATAGTATTAAACAAAATAAATATTCTAATATAAAATCTCTTTTATACATAGTTTTTACAATGTATTAATGTATATTTATGTGCTTTGTGTGAAAAAATATGCGTATATCACACGATAATAAGATGCACATTCGCGATGTTAATATTTAAAAAAGTAGTTCAAAAGAGATTTTGCCGAAGAAATATTACTAAATTCGCGTTTTATTACTTCGGGTTCGAATAAATGTCTATTTTTATAAACGATCTATCAATCAAACTTCGCTTTGCACTTATCGCAAAAAGATGGTCGGTCAATTCCTAAATACAGCAGCGAGCATAAATTATTCAGGCGATGTGGCAAAAGCGATTAATTTTATTGGTCGACGTCCCGGATATGGCTCGTCTGTACTCGTCACCGTTGCTTTGTTGCAATGTCCTATCCTGTGCCCCGTGTTTCTCGATCATGTGCCAGCCAGACTAACACCTTATTAACGGCGGTGGTTGCGCGAATGCTGGCCGCAGAAAAGTTGCGCAAAATTACTCGTGCACGCTCTCCGTGCCGCGACCGTCTAATATTATCTTACATGTTGAAAATTAATCCGCGAGGTCTATGCAACGTGAAATTCGCCATAGCTCAATCAAAGACAAAAAATGAGCAACAATTTAAGTACCTTCTCTGCGAGCGATACGAGAATTGCCTATTATTTCATTACGGAACGATCATAATTGCAATAATATAATTTAGTTGAGTCCGAAAGAGAATAAGGGACGTTATCTATAACGATATCATTGAATAGCATTATTGCTATTATTATAGTCAGCCATGATATTAAATTTCTCTCTTGACCTACTTTAATTTGTATCCTGTATCTTTCAATCACTTACTACACATCACAAAGTTGATTCACGATATTGACATTAACATTTGGCGTAGTCATTTACAAGTCAAAGCAGTTATTTAGCAAGTCATTTTAGTTTGCTGGTAGTGAAAAAAAATTACCTCTGGTAATTTCAGTTAAAAAAAATTTGTTTTTTGCAACCTGGACAGTTTTTATGCGTCGCGAGTTTATAACATTTAAATAAAACACTATTTGCGTGATAACTTGCCTTTCGTATTCGATGGTAGTGATTTTTTAGAAACGACCCACGTAGTTTAGCGTGTTTCAATAGCGAAACAGGTCAATGGAGCAAGTGCGGGCTTTACCTTCTTCGCTTTTAAAGATTCGACTCAACTTTCCCAATCTGGGTTTGCCGTCAATTCTTTCCACTCCTAAAAAGCGCGTTCAACCGGCCACACCATAGATAGCTTTCTAGCGACGTTCACGGTATTTCAATGGTTTCTCGGTAACCACGGGGTCGACACTCACATCAGGACATGTTTGGACGATGAGAGAACCGCGTACAGAAAAGAAACTTCATGGCTAAAGACTTTGAGCATTTACGTTTACGCGTACACCTGCGTGCGTGCACGTATCGATTCTTTCGTCCATAAACGGACCCCATTACACATATTTTGTGCCGGGTGAAATAAAATATTTACTTCCACAGACAATGTTTCTAACATTTACTATTCAACCGCAAGAAAAAAATATACATATTTTTCTTTCCGCCAAATACATATTATGTGCGAGATTTGTATTAAGTTATAATCTTTGTACATAATTGAAAATTTAAGATTCATAAACTTTATCGTTTTCTCTTTATATTTTTTCATTTATACATATTTATATAAAATTCAAAATTAGCTTTTTAATACTTAATTTTCAATTTTTTGTGAACAATAGATTTATTAAAAATATATTTTATTTTATTCATATTAGCAGTTTTATAAATATAAAAAAATTGGAATTTTATATAGTAATATTTCGATAATCGTATCATCAAGCTGATTCTAGGGTCATAATTAATATGATTTTTTTAGAAAATAAAATTCTATTTAAAAATAAGTAATCTATCTTGATAAATATTTTATGTTTATTCGCCTATTATCTATATGTTATCAAGTTCTCTCATTTTTCGTTTTTTATGTAGCATCGGCAATATCATTCAAGAAAATGTGCTAGTAATATATGTCTCTAGTGCAACAGTCATTAAAAAGTTATGATATTCTTGTCGGATACTTTTCGTAATGAGTCGTGAAATGAAATCATGTCGCGCGACGTATACCGTTCGACTACTGTTTTGTATCCCCAAAGTCATAATAATAGCGCGTGCTTGTTTGTGCCACAAATACGGCGACAGAGAAACAGAGGTATAATAATCTGTTGTTATCTATCGTACCGCTTTTTTCCTCGCTCTCATTACGCAGACAGTGCCTGTTGCAGATATCTCTGCATCTATCACGCGATTCCACGCAAGTCTCAAGTTAAGTGTCGGGATAATGAGCATGAATGAGTCCGACTGCTAGGCAGGTATTCGGTTACTATATATACGTTCTCGTTCTCGAGGAATCATAGGTCAGCATCACTGTCAGCA